GTCCACAATTTCTTTTTAAAATCAAGAAAAGCAGAATGAACTGCCTTTTATTTATACCCTGACTTCTCTGACCGTGAATTTGCCTTGGCATTGACGCCACTTGACAAGAATGGAAACGCAACTTGAATAAGATGGCATTTTGTGCGATTTAAACCACGACGATGTTTGCCAGGAGACAGGTGAAAAGGGAGCAGCGGAGGCCCCGCACTGTGAGTGTCAGTAGCTCGTGCGGGGGTCCTTGCGTGGCTGCAGGTGAACGAGCAGCTGCGCCTTTGGCGTTGAGAAATCCATTATCTTCTAATGTAATTTTTTTATTGTGATTTTGGCGAAGTCAAGTTGTATATATCTTTATTGATAGAACAATATTATTTTATTATAGAACGAAGGGTTACCCTCCCCTTTTGTTCTCTTCTGCTGTCGGCATGTATTTAAATTACATCTTTCATGGCAAATGAAGACACTGTAAACCAGTATGTGTCTTCTTGAAAATGAGTGAAACAAGCAAAATTGAGACCTTGGAAAAATTACTCAGTTACATGGGTAGCTTTGTGTGTCTTAAGAGTATTTTTGAGAGTAGCCAGGCATAGAATCACTGGGTCCACCTGAAAAGTGATTTTTACTGTAGATGCTTTTATAGTAGAGGAGGAAAATATTGGAGTATCTCTTACAAAGGCACTCTTGACATGGAAGCACATGTACCCTTAAGTTTGGGAAGCATTGCATATCCATATGGTTCTTCTTGGTGATGTCAGATCAAAACACTGATTAGAATTGATAGGGTAACCATCAGCAATTAATACTGTTAATCGGGATTTTGAAGGTCACTTATTTTTCTTTTATCTTTTTGTGCAGTAAATTTAAAAACTTGCTATTACTTAGCCGTAGCTTAAGCTTAGCATACTTGACAGCTTCTTTCTTTTGTAGACTGTGGCCCATTGCTGTGCAGCATAGATGCTGTCTTGTGTGTTTTCTTGAATTTAATAAAAACTTATACAAATAATAATTGATTTTTCTCTCTTTTTAAATGAACAAGCAGACAAATAGACAATCACTAGAACTAATTGTTCTCTGTTCCTTTCAGGACAGGCTCCTGCAGGCAAAGAAAGAAATTGAAAAGCACTCAATTAATGATAAACAGGTAAAAATCACTGTCTTCTTGATGCATTTTCTGTACGAATCAATGTAGCTGTATGAAGGTCAAAAAGGGTTACTTCAACTGAATAGTTCATTGAAAGATGTAAGACTTTCCAGATTAAAATATGTATTAGATTGTTTTTAAAAAGGTGAAATTATCTGAATTGTCTAGAATTTCAGATTCTTAAAAAAATGTATAGACT